CAGAACAAAATATACGTATTTATCATTAGCGTTAGTATACGATATCATCATATTTATCTTCCGTTATTTCATCTGATTAAACATAATATTTTTATTAGAGCTTGGATTGTTAAAAGTAATTCTTAAGTCTGTTATTTTTGTTTACCAGTATATATATCATCATCATCGATAAAAGAATCTGAAGTGTCATAATTATCATCAGTATAATCATCATCTATTTCTTCAATTTCTACTGTGTCATCTTCGATTTCTATGACAAGTCTTTGTCCACAGTTTACGCAATTATTACCTACAACTAATTTAGAAAAGAATAATTTAACTTAGCCACTCTTTTTCACTATTAACTTTTTTGACAATTATCTTCGGTGCTCCAATCCACTGGTTTTGTTTCTGTTCTTGAATTGTCAAAAAAGTTTCTCCACGGATTAGATTTTGCTTTAAACTCTTGATTTTTTTTTTCAAGACGTATTTCTTCATCTGATGATTTTATTCTTATAAAATGGTCTATTATGTCTTTAATAACAAAGGAAAATACCGGTGTTGCCCTTGAAATTAAATTCAGCATTGTTAGTACAGGTACAGATAAACACGGATCATGTAGAGGTTCAAGTCCCCATCTGTCAAACCAATAGGTATTCCACGATTCAAATTAAAATCCCTATCCATTTTAACTTTGCAGTGTTTACAATGTTTGCTTCAATAAATGATTTTGCTGTAATCCAAAACAGATCATGAAATATCAGATCCTTAAACATTAGTGATTAAAGAAATTTTATACTTACTAAAAATATAAATAATAAAATTTAGCAAATTGAGTAAGGAAGTATGATATATGTATAATTGACGTACCATAATTTTAATACAACATGTTGGACATTTTTTTTTTTTTGAACTACAAATGATAAGCTTAATATATTATACTTTAAAGTTGACTAAGAATTAGAGAAATACTCCATACCTACTTATAAAGGCAATGGTAACAAAAAGTATGACCGCATGAAATTGTGCAAGGATTTGACATATATTCAAGGCATATTGTGCACATTAATTCGAACCTATTTATATTAGTCTCTAAACCCTCTATGATCTGTTCCCTAAAAATTAACTCTTGATTTAATATTTCTATATTTTTTTTAAGTTGCTTAATCTCTTCAGCGTAATTCATCTTAGTCATGTGATTTAATTAACTCTGATATTACAGTTACTGCAGCAAAAGTTCAGTAATTTATTATTTTTAAAACAAATCAAGTAATCGATATCCAAAAGTATTGTTATAACTTCTATTGAAATTTATCAAACAAAAATTTTAATACAGTCAGACCCCCCTAAATGCACCCCCTCTAAATGCAACACCTCTCTAAATGCACGTCTTCTTTTGGGCCCAACTAATATTACATATATAGATTTTTACCTCCCTAAATGCAACACCTCTCTAAATGCACGTGCTAGAGCTGGTCCCGACGACGTGCATTTAGAGAGGTCTGACTGTAGTAACATGTGAAATAAGAAAGAATAATACCAAATTCTCTATTAAAAAATCAATTAAAAATTCAATTTAAACAATTCAGTTTATTTTAGTAGATATTTTTAATCAAAATTAAATTTTATAAAAAATCTTTGCACTATTGAACAGATCATATAGTAGATAAAGTAACATATAAGTTCATTTCATTTTAATTAACGTTATTAGAGTCTATTTCAATAACATGTTTCAAAGATATTATTGGATCCAAATTTAATGGTAAAAAATATAAAGATTTAAAATATTGCGCGATGACATCTCAGAATTTAAATTCGAACACAAAGAATATTTAAAAAATTTGATGTATCAACAATTGCCATTTTACTTCATATTAGTTTGAATTGATTTGTGACTATTTATAGAAAGATAATATACACGTAAATATTTTATTACTGTATCAAATCAAAATATAAATTAGATAAATTTTAAGTTGTGCATTTTATTTTAAAATGTTCTCAGAATTAGATCAATTTTTATATCTTGCATTCTTATCTGATTTAGGAGTTGCAATATTTTATCATAACTCACTAGTAACTTTAATTCAATACTATAAAAGAAAACAAATAACTTATTTTCTTAAATTTGTTTTCAACTTTAGTGGTGGATTGAAATATACTTTTAATTTCATTTATCTAATATTAACCTCAAATTGCGAAGTTATTGGATACATAAATGCAATCATAAACCTTATATACAGGACTTCTCTAGCATCTTTTTTGCTATGGAGGCTAAAAAAGATCAATCATGAAAAACATATGTTAGACAATATAATTAGTTTTGTGCTTTTGACGGCAAGAATTTTATTTCAGGTAGTATTATTATAAGCTTAAGTAGGATAAGGCTATTCAAAGTTGATTTTGTTAGTTAACGTTTTGGCTCAGAAGTGGGAAATTAATGAACAAGAATATTTGTTTAATCTCATTGGTCAACTTAATCACATGATTAATGAAGTTGTTTCGGCCAAAAAATGACGTTTATCAACTACTCAACTTTGAGTCATTATATTATAATATAACAAATTTCTAAATAATATTGCAATATATCAGTTCGCTCAGGTTTTGTTTCTTCGTCCAAGAGCCATAAATTCTGGTAAAGAATTTCAAATTGCATGCAATTCTGCATTTTATGAAAATCGTATCGCAGTCTTGGGCTTCATAAATGCTGACTTTGTTATTGAAATCTTTGTTGCTCTTCGATTTTATCAAATTTTGCTAACAGGGAAATACTTACACAACAGAGATAATTCTTTCAATTCTTTTATCATTGATAGATCAGATAAGGTTATTAATACAGTTCTTTTCTGGTTTATTATACGAGTTATTTTAGCCGCCTTTTTGGATATTATTAGTATATTAGATACTCTAAATGTAGTAGATCCAAATAAGTTTCTTTCTCGAACTTTAAATTTAGTTGTTTGTGTAGCAATGTCTTGTGTGATAACTTTAGACTGAGAGATTATAAGGCACGTGATGTCAACTTTGACTTAACGTTAAATTCAGTTTAAGCATAAAATTTTTGTAGAGAAACGTATCAATTTTAAATTTTTCGTGGTAAAAACAAGTCGTTTAGTATCATTTTATATATTAAGAAATTTTATTGTGCTAGCAAAACTTGAATTTTATTGACTCAAATTTTTCTAAAGTAAAGAAGTTCTTAAGAGTCGAAATTTTTAAATCATGCACGGGAATATAACCCAAATAGAAATCTCAGAATATTTCTATGAAAGAACCCAAATAAATTACGTATGTATACTAATGTACACACTGATTTGGAAATTAAAAACAATTTGACATGTTTGACATGCATGTCAATGGGTATCTCATCCGATAATTTTTCCTATAAATCCAAGGCTAAACAATTATCATATAATTATGAATAAATCAAATATAATGATAGTTCCTATGGTAATTATGTTCTATTCTATTGCATATATTAAGTTTACCGGTAATATATTCTTTTATTATGTTAATATTATCCCAACTGAAACTTGCAATTGTCGACAAAGAAAAAGTTCTAATCCGATTTATCATTTCTTTGCCTTTAAATTTATTTTCGTCTGTATTAAAACAACTAAAGAGGCTATAAATCTTTTCACTCCGTTCTTTTCTTTTACTAAGTGCCATATCTAAAGTCTCAATATTTAGCTGCCGCTTGAATTCCTGATTAACTTGCTGTCTTGAATGATAAATATCATGTGATATATTATAGAAATTCTCATAGAGTCATGCTATAGCCTCTCCAAGATCATAGTAACGTCTAAGAACCTCATAAATTGACCTATTACTATTTTCTTTAGCGTTGGAAATTTCTTGATTAAGACAGTTAAAATCAATCGATAGTCTAGCATTAGACATCTGGCGAGATTGTGTAGTGTTTTGTATAGTCACCTCATTCAATAACTCATTCACAGCTTTTTAAATTTTTGAGAATCTTTAAATTGATTTGTCTTTTTTTTACGTTTAGGTGTTATTTCAATTTCCTCAACAAGCACTTCACTTTGGACTGGACATTTAGGACAAATTGCTGGATCCAAGTTAAAATTAACGCATGTTGTATGAAATGCATGCCCACAAGACAATAGTAAAATTGGGTGGAAGGAAAAAATTTCTCTGCTGCAATTTTGACATGGATACTGTTCTATATTTATATTGCGGACTTTAACACCTTGGGAATTCTTTAGTATATTCAATACAAAAGTTTTAAGTAAATCACTATGAAACCAATTTGGGTTTTGAGACAAATCAGCCATTTTGGAGTCTTCTACACCAGTCTATTTTACTTACTAGATGTCAGACCCGTTGTTAAACGATGATTTAGATTTTAACAGTTATATAAAATGCATTATACGGTTATAATGTGACCCGAAATCTATTGGATTCCATTTTCATATTAAAAATTTAGTGAATATCTATTGGATTTAATAAGAAAATAGGGATACATATCACTTCACCGACGCTAGTTTCGTAGACATATTCGGGTTACATCACTATGCACAGTCTAATTCAATTCAATTGGAACAAATAAATCAAATAAAACTAAATATATAAGTTTAAATAAAAAAAACACTTTCAGCTTTTAATAAGGGCATCCGTATAGGAACATTAAATAATACAAAAATAATACCGTATGATATTACCTTCAAGATCTACAATACTAGCTTAAAAAATAGTTACAGATCAAATCTCTACGCCTAAGCAAATCAATTGAGAGAATGTTTTATCCAAAAAATTAAATTGAAGCAAGATAAGTACACTTTATTTCTACTATTTCTTTTAAAATTGTAATATGCATAAACTCTAGAATTTCTGTTCTGAATTGACAATACACGTTGCTGAAGTGTCTCACAATTGATATTGCGTAGCTATTGTGGTCTATTAAAAAGTATATCCGTGTATCTTTAAATATAAGTAATATATTAAAGCTGATTTTACTTGTATTATATAAGCATGATCTTTTACAGTATTTCAAAATTCAAATAATGCAAATTATGAATAATAATATTCGTTCTAGTTCACCATCTAAAGAAGAACGTGAGTCCAGTCGAGTGCCTATCTCTCAACAAAAAATTGATTTTAATAATGAACCCATTGAAATAGTAGAATTAGTAAATAAACTTATTCATGAGTTTGGTGATGTTCAAACCACAAAACGGATAGATCGTTTATGGAATTCTTCAGTTAATACTAGGGCTAAAACAATTCCACATCCACAAAATTGTTTTATACTCTTTCGTAACAATATAACGGCCGAATATAATCCACAAAAAAATAATAATAACAGTAAAAAAAGAGTTGATAAAAACGTTCCAAAATCGTCTAAAATTGCGAAGGAAAGATGGGCAACTATTAAAAAATTTAATCAACGTGAATACAGTTTTGGTTAAAATTAACAGAAATAGCAAATTTGAAGCACAAATTAGTATATCTGAATTATAAATATTTTCCTATTAGAAATAAAAGCAAAAAATGTAAAAGATCAAATAATACTTATAAACAACATCCTCCATTGGTGACTAATGATGTCGTCAAGTCCACACAAATTGGGTCCAACAAAAATATTGAACCAGTACAGATACAAGAAACAAACAATACTCAAGCTTTATCAGAAAATTACAACTGTCAAAATAATTCAACAATCTCTGATTTTCTTTCGAACCTTTTTCAGATAGTTATCTTACACCTTCATTCCATGAAAGTTTTATACCCTATTACTTATCACCTGAATATAGACAAAGTATTACGGCTTCAAGTATGAGGTCTGTTCAACTTACTCACAATTACGTAAATTACCTTCAATATTGCCAACCTCAAGATTACTTTATAATCAATGGCTTAGTTAATCCTGTATTAATGAATGAAAATAACACATTTGGTAACAGTTTTTAGTAATTTCAGCAATGAATCTTAACGTTAATGCTAAGCAATTGCTGAATAAATGTTTTAAAATTAATTTTAACTAAAAGATTTTTAAGAATATCTACTTTAGAATCAACTATAACCAATAGTGATGTGATCCGTTATCTATGAATTGAAACTAAATTGAAACTAAATTTAATAGTATCGTATTATTTTAAAATAACACCCCGATACTTTTTTATTATAAACACTAACCCTAAATCCTAATCTTAACTACAAAAAAAAAGCATCTCCCTAAAATTCTAAATTTTCATAATAAAATATGTCAAAGTTTCAACATCATCGATAATATTTAAAATTAAGAATAATAATTGATCAAGAATTTATAATTGACAATTCAAAAACAATATACAATTATTTTCAGTAGTTTGACAATTCAATTTCTATTTAGTCTAGTGTAAAGATTAACTTTTAATTCAAGCTCAAGAATTCAGCAATTCAAAATACAATTATTTTAAATATTAAGTAATTTAATAATTGAAATTCAACAAAAAAATTTATATACATTATAATTATTAAACTCTATTTATAAGCAATTCGGTTAATAATTAAATGATAGATTTCCAAAAAAATGGAAGACAA